ACCATAGAATGAACAGTGTAATAATAAACTAAATGTAAAAACCTTGAATAACAAAGAAAACTAACACTGCACGAGTCCTAAGAGTTTTAAGGGGCATCTAATGGCTGAGCAGTGAACTCAATTATTTATCGCCTGATTTCCATCATTTTTGGTGTATGTTAAGAAGCATCTTTTCATCACACATTGCCCAAGTTTCAATAAGATAGTCCTACAAACAACTGAGAAAAGAATATTGATGAAAAATCATATAGGAAAGTTTATTCAGGCATGCACAAATACAGTTACATAATTATCATACATAGCAGCATGTGTGTAGAGACCCTAGGATAACCCAAAAAAGTCCTAGCCTGGTACTGGCACTGCGAGAAGCTGTTACGGCACTACCTGCTGGTAAAGCATTGCTAATCCGAATTTATCACGGTATTAATTACGAGATGTGGGGAAAATTGGCGCATGCGAAAAAAATGCAGTGGAATGTGACAATTCACGGCTGTGTTTGTTCGGCACCCGATTATGTGTTCGAGACCAGATGCAAAAATTTGGCGAATTTTTTGGTCGTGAACCGATTTGTTTGTGTTCGGAAGCGTTCGTTACCCGAGGTTCCATTGTACATGTAAAAAAAAAAAAAAAAAAAAAAAAACTCCATTGTTCATGGTTCTAGATATTTGTTAATGGTTTTGCCAAGGCCCTGTGATCTCAATCACAACTCGTCTTTGAGCTATTAAAAACAATATTAATTCAGAAAATAAGTTACATATAAACCCCCCTATCCTCTCCAAAGTTGTGATTTAATTCATTCGTATGAAAGCGCTTAACCCTAGTACTGATCACATGACCACTGGGGAATGGAAGGCAAATGGATTAGGTCTTTAGATCAAATTCCCTCTGCCAGCATCATGGCCCAAGGTCTTTCAATCCGATGAAGCGAAATTATTTCCAGCACTTAACTTCCACTATTGTTACGTAGTGGATAATGACAACTCGAAAAACAGTTTGTTCAGTGTTTACAAGCAGAGAAGTACTTATATACAACTCACCACAACGGTAACTTTGTGCACGAAGCTTTATGCATTAATAAAATCCTAGAGTAACTACGAAAATCAATACAATTAATGGCCAATACAGCCACTTAAATTTAATAAATTGCTTAAAACACCTACCTAAAATGAAATGCATGTCTGGAAACTGTGCGAATGTAACAGGACAAAGAATATATATTTATGAGAATTGCTAAACTCGTAGTAGCCAAGCAATGTCTGGGACATGACTCATAATTACTTTTATCCAAGGGAGGATAGCTATAGTACTAAGATCCCTCAAATGAAGCAAGGGACCCTCCTCGACTTCAAGGAATACCGTCAGCATGCCTTTGATATACTACAACATCAAGGTAAGGCTACAACAACCCTTATAAAACTTTGCTACCGTTTGCCATTTTCATGTACGAATTCCACGTCGATAAAATCCCTGGACGGTAATAAGGAACCTGTCTTACTACCGCCGCAGGTTACCTGTTACACGAGACCTGAGGCGCCGTCACCGGCCCCGTCATCCGTGTCTTGCGACGTGATATGCCAATATAACCTTCATTCATACTCTGGAGGGAGCCTCACCTCCACATCACCTTCATTCATGCCCTGGGGGGAGCCTCGCCTCATCACCTTCATTCATGCCTTGGTGGGAGTCTCGCATCATCACTTTCGTTCATGCTCTGGAGGAGAGCGCTTCACACATCATCCCCTTCATTCATGCCTTGGAGGTCTCATACCTAAACATAACATTCACATCCTGGAGGAGGGAGCCTCACACCTTATCACCTTCAAGCACAGCAAGGATATTTGTCGAGATACTCTATATTTATATGATGGAAAAATTGTGCGTTCATAAACTTAGTAGTATAAGTAATAGATACACATGCCCTTAGTATGGGAAAGGCAGATAGCGGAAGACATTTGGTCCAAGTCAGAGTTCTCCTGAGCAGCAGCAACTAGTCTAGTTCTACTTGTACTACTGCTATTTGTACTATGTCCTGGGAATCAACTTTTTCCAGGCTTTCCAGCTGCCACTACCAACACCTACAATGCATCTAGTTGAATCCAATATCAGTAGTGTTTGGCAAAATTTTCTTAAGGATATACGATACACGTACTCATAGACTTGCTTCTTAGCATATTGTATATGCATCTACTAGTCAAACCTAACTTTAAATACATAATATACGTAAATTCTTTAATATGATATACATCTTAATAAAAAAATGTACTCGTATGGAGACAAAGTAAGTACTGCTTGAAGCACCATCCGTGCTTGCCTAAAATGTAGTTTTCACAAACAGGTAATTACAGGTAAGTAATTACCTTTAGTTAACACTCATCACGAATGTTCACACAAGCCAGACCCTGCAGTCGATGCAAGATTATTCTAACTAATCACTACAATATTTACTGAAATTCGACACGTGTTGGCAATCAGCCAAAACGTGTCGAATTTCAATATATATTGTAGAATGCGAGCGTGGTAGCATGTTAGGCAGACGCGTTAACATGTGTGAAGTCCATATTTTTGTGTCGTGATGAGTGTGATACAGTGGTGCGTGTTGCTCCTAACACTTAGCAGCAAGACAAGACTCGGCTCTGGATCAATGTTTTGTCCGCCCCTCGGTTACTATGCTAGTCTACCTAACTTTGCTTGTTTTCTCATCATTGTTTTATAAACTATATTATATGATGCAAGCAAGTGTGTGCGTGTGTTATTATATATATATATATATATATATAATATATATATATATATATATATATATATATATATATATATATATATATATATATATATATATATATATAATTATAATCAAAATTCTTGGAAGACCAAGGATGCTTAGAAACAACAGGATATATACATTGTGTGTAAACTCGCCGAGTTTACTTAAATTACACTTTAGAATTATTCTTGATGTTAGTGTACACGTGAATTGCATCTTTAATGACCCCACGAGCAGTCAATAGGTTAAACCTTAACACACTAACTACTAGGAGCACCGGGTCATCAGTGTAATTGTCTACACAGGGAAAAAAAAAAAGGAAAGTTGGGAGGACAGGGCGAGGCACTGCAGATATAAGACCTTCCTAACGGACGCAGTGACCTGAGGGAGGGAAGGAAGAAATTACGGGTCCAACTCACTCTTTCCTCTGCGTCTCATCTCCTGCCTTCCCAGTACCGTTCTGTGTTTATTAATCTCCCTCATCAATACCAAAAGTAATCAGAAGCGCCTATATTACCTGCCATTATACTCATAGAACGATTAATAAAATGTATGCTGTTACCATGGCTGTCGCAGAGTTCCTTACAGTTTCTTTTATCAGGTTTAAGGAAAAAACACTAACTTATGAGCCACATGAATAAAGGATATATAATTAGCGAACTGCACCCACTTATCTCTATTATAATTAGGAGGAACAAAAAAAATGTAATCAGAAAATCCGGTCTAAATATGTTCTTAACTAAGCGCGCAGTTATGGCATATTAAGAGAATTATTGTGATACAAACATCCTGCAATTGTTTTCAAATTACCAGTTGTCATACACCATAATTTAGGTTCTAAATACCTTCAAAACAAGTCTCCTTCCCAACAGTATTAAAAATATCAGCAACACCCGAATTGGTTAGTGAATCATTTCTACAAGAACTCCAGGATTTAATTCACATTAACCTCGGAGAGAAAATAGCCAAAGAAAGCCAATCATTGTAGCTTATTTTTATTTTTTTCATTCCCCAGGAAACATCCCAGAACACTTGGTAAACTCTTGGATATTTATTAACTCCTAGGTATCAGGGGGCGGTGGTGGTAGGACACTTGCCTAGCCGTCTCTCCCTGCCCAGGATTCGACCCAGGCACTGTCGATTGTAATCCAGACGCACTACCACTCCGGATATTTGGTTATTTACATACAAGGATTACCCTGGTAACTGTTACACCAGTAACCGGAATCCGAGGCTGCCTCTGCCTCTGCAAATTTCTCTGGAAACGAACCCCTCAAGGAAGGTTCCTTGATGTTGGTGAGGGGCTCTTGATTTAGGGAATTGGATCTGTGCTCCAGTTCCCCAAATTAAGCCTGAATGCCTTCCACATCCCCCCCCCCAGGCGCTGTATAATCCTCCGGGTTTAGCGCTTCCCCCTTGATTATAATAATAATAATCTGGAAAAGAAAACAACAGAAATGTTTCTGGCGATATTGTAGAAAATACAACACCAGTCACACGTACTTTGTGGAAGTTATATTATAATATCGCAGGTGAGAACCACGTCAAGGTCACCCAACATTACCTTGTATTTGTAAACTACAAAATCAATGAGTATAATACGTTTCTGGAATTTTGAAACTCCACATTTAATATTTGTTAGTCTCTCAAATTAACAAGTGTCAGGTGTAAATTTCAATAATTTAATGAGTTTCTTAATAACATTATTAAAGAGGATAAGAATATAATTTAAATTTTGATGAAAGTTAAACCTTCACGTTATATCAATGTAATGTGAATATTGATCTGGCAGTGTTTAAAGTATATATAACAATGTTTACAAGTCTTATAACATTATGATTATATATGATTAAAAAATGTTTTATATCAGGTCGAAGCACAAGAAAAACGTGGCAGCAGAAAAAGTCAATTAAAAACTTTACTATGACTAGTTCTGCATGTATTGAGAGAACCTTTTTAATTAATCGTAAAAAAATGGTTATATACCATCCACATCCATCTAGCATATATAAAAGTAAGCAATTCTATAAAACTAGTTAGGTACCAGAGCCTAGCAGCACGTGGGGTCAATAAGGCAGCAACTTCCCTCTACATTAACATCAAAAATACTCTAACTCAACTAATTAAAATAAATTCTCAGCTCCTAAACACCTTTCGATGTATATACCCGTGTTACTAACGAACGAGCCATCACTATGGAACATATATTAAATAGTGATTATCTGTCAAGACTCACAAAGTAATGTTAGGAACCCGGGAGTGAGTACAACACACGTCCTGCACCAGCCACTGCAACAGCTACACTACCTCTGCGCTTGCGCTTCTCTCACCACTCCATTACCACCATCTCCAAATGGTGAAACTCTCCCAATTTAATGAATTCCTGTTACCCTTCCCTTGCATTAAACCTTATTACCTGTCATTCTATTCTTGACTCGTATACCTAAGATAATATACGATAACCCTTAACCTAGAGACTTAAGTTGTTCCCTCTTCTCAGCACATCCTTGGTGTCAACTCTCATGATCTGTGCTGTCTATCTTTCCTATGTATTCTCTAGGGCCTGTCTGACCCCTAGGGATTTAGCGTTTTCCCACGAGTATAACAGTAACCCAAAAAGCCTATTATCATTATCTGATTGTCTCTAATACTATAAAATATAATTACCTGGAATATACTTGGAGGTTCCAGGGGTTAACGCCCCCGCGGCCCGGTCCGTGACCAGGTCTTGTTGTGGATCAGGACCTGATCAACTAGGCTGTTACTGTTGGCCACACGTAAACCGACGTACGAGCCACAGTTCGGCTGAATAGGTACTGGCTTTAGGTGCCTATCCAGCGCCTTCTTGAAGACAGCCAGGGGTCTATTGGTAATCGCCCTTAAGTATGCTGGGAGGAAGTTGAACAGTCTTGGGGTCCTGACACTTATTGTGTTGTCTCTTAGCATACTTTCCTTAATACAACTCAAGAATGAAGCATTAGAATTCATATTGAGTTGAAGGTGACACGATAGATCGTGTCTAGATATTAAAAATGCCGTTTAACAAACAGCTACATATGCACTGATAGATACGTACTTTTCAGTGTATATATACTGAGATATATACACATATCACCGTAAATACTATGAAAGACAAACTTTTCACTGCACTGTATATAAACTAAGATATAAATACTTATGTGTATATATAAATAAGTTTATATACACTATGATGTACACCTCATAGTAATATACACATATAGACACATCTTTCAATGTATATACTTTGGTATATATTAAGGTGTACATACACTAACATGCAATGCTCTCAGTGAGGATATACCACTAAATGCATATTCACCGATATACACCTGAAAGTGTATATACACTAAAATGTACACATCTGTCTATATACACTGAGATATAAGCATCTCTGCGTATAAACACTGCGACACACCTCAGTCTAAAAGCTATTGCCACTTTATTATTTATGTACCTGACATTGATTGGAGTCCACCACACACTTTCTGCCGGAGGTAAGATGAGGTTGGTTTACTGACTTCAAAACCTGTCGACCTATGCATGTCACCTATACACCACCAGTTAGAGATGCTTTGAAATAGGAATTAAAGTAAACTCTCAGTGTATATACAATGTGAGACTACACTCCTCTGCTTGTATACACAGTGTATATACACACCTTTTTCAATATCTTTACTATAAGTACACGTACAATGTATACAGGCCTAGCTGACATCAATGACATACTACCGTATAGAGTGCCCCCTTGTTAGGTCAGTTTTTGTCCCCAGGATTCGACCCACACCAGCCCACTAATACTCAGGTACCCATTTTACGCTGATGGGTGAACAGGGACAGCAGGTGTCTTATGGAAACACGTCCCTAATGTCTTTCCAGCCGTACCGGATGAGATTCGAATCCCGGACCTCAGTGTGTGAGCCCAGTACGCTAGCGATCGAGCTACGGGACACCTCTCATTCTATATGCACTGACAGATGCACCCCTCCTGTTGTATATAAATTGAGGCATACGCCTCTCTCGCCGTATATATGTTGTGAAATATCTCTGCTAGCAGCATAAAGGGCAGCACAACGTAGCCACCACAGCCCACCTAATCAGGAACTGTCATGAAGAATACGATGGCAGTGTGATGAACACAAGCCTCTGAATGCTTTATAACAGAGCACATGAGCTTCTCCATAAAACCATCAGCTTCTCAAACTCTACTTTGAGCTCTGTTTCTCAAATATTTAATTATGTAAAAATGACATGACTGCAGTCCAACGTTATCTGTAACCTAGGATAACACAAAAATGCCTATCAGTCTGGTTTTTATCCTTCAGAGTCCTTTGATCCTTTCCCCCCAGGATGAGACCCACAGCAATTAGCTAACTCCCAGGTACCCACTGACTGCTAGGCGAACACAAGTAACAGGTGTAAAGAAATATGCCTAATATTTTCAATTGTCCTTGTTGACAGAGTAGACGCGACCAGAGGCGCATTGAAGCATCACTAAGTTTCAAAACTGCTTCGGGACAACGTTTCCCTTTGCATAGAACTTTTCATAGAAGAAATGTTATCCCAATAAAATTTAGTCTTTATACATGTCTGCAATAACGCCATTTCATTCTTTATTGAGTTGTAAGCCCATTCTGTCACCAGTGAAATAACAACTGACCAAGAAAGTCACACAAGTCGCATTGAAAATACCGATTATTATTATTATTAAAGATTAGCCGGTATTCTCCCGGCCCGGGCCTTTTCCAAGTGGTGGCCCGGCCTTGGCTCCCTCTTTAGGGAGTGTCTGAGACCTAAGTCTCCCATGGGAGGAGGCACAAGTACCTCCTCATCTTTGGGACCAACTGTCCCCAGGCCTAGCCACAAGCTAGGCCTCTCTGGTCTGCCATCCCCGCCCCAAGGAGGTAAATGGGAATGACAGTCTTATGAGCTAAAGGCTCGGGCTCAGGCACCTACCCTACCCTAGAGGGGCTGGGCATGGTGTCGATCGAAAATACCGAGGTTGGAACACTTCACAAGGCAAACTAGTGGAAATAAATCATATTGTTAGACTTTACTATGTTATCTTATGTGAACTGTGTGTAACGTACTCTTTATGTGTCTATAGTATGTGCGCATTTAAAACCACTGTAAAAAAAAAAAAAAAGTTATGATATGCACTCGAAGCCTCAATAAAAACTTGTTTCGGGGAGGAAACCTTAGACGACGTGTCTACCCGTCGCGAACCATTATAGTCTGTGACTTGACAGTGGTCCAGAAGGGACCGAAACAGTGCGTACAAACTCGTCTCGAAAGTGTGGTGTATTTGTGAATAACTTAGTACTAAATATCGATAACGAGGTATGCCACGAAATAACTGAAGTGGCAAATTTTTTTTAATTCCTACTACACAACTGTGGCATCAACACTAGTAAGTAAACTACCAGCTGCATCAAATATCTTTAACATGGACTCTGATAAGTTTAAAACATATCAATAAAGGGGTAACAGAAAACAGTTGTTAACAAGTAAGTGTATCTCATGACTTCGTGCAAAAAGAGCTAAACAAGTTAAACCCAACTAAGAGCACCGGCCCAGACAGCATCCCGTCTAAGGTCCTAAAAGATGGTATATCTGAATTGCCAATCCCCATTGCTTACATAATAAATTTGTCCCTCACCACTAATACCACGTACCGGAGGGGTTCAAGGAGGCCAGAGTTACTCCTATCAAGAAAAATAGTTGGTCTGATGTCAGCAACTATAGGCCTGTTAGTATACTTAGTGTAATATCCAAAATTCTAGAGAGGGCGGTGTACTGTCAAATAGATAAGTATCTTAATGACAATATTCTCCATAGTTACCAATCAGGCATTAGGAGCTCTTACTCAACCGATACCTCCCTAATTAATCTGATGGATTACATGAGAACTGAAATGTCCATAGGGAACCTCATAGGAATGACAACCTTAGACTTGCAAAAGGCCTTCGATACTGTCAACCACAATATATTATGTAAGAAACTTCAAGCTATCGGCATGGGTTCCGTAGACTGGTTTAAGTCCTACTTTAGTAACAGGACACAAATTCTCAAAATCAACAAAACAGAATCAAAACCCCTGCCAACAGCATGCGGAGTTCCCCCAGGTAGTATTCTAGGTCCCTTGTTATTCCTATGTTATGTAAACGATATGCCCATCAGTGTCAAGTGCAAACTCCTATTGTACGCAGATGACAGTGGTATGTTAGTGTCAGGTAAAGACCCACAAGATATAGCTAATATAATAACACTGGAACTGGAGTCCTGCAGCAAATGGTTAGTAGAAAACGGAAGCCATACTCTTTGGCACGAAACATAAACTGAGAAGGGTAAATAATTTTAATGTCCAGTGTAATGGGAAACCCATCACTTCAGTTTCCCAGTAAAATATCTGGGAATCCCCTTTGACCCATGCATGTCAGGAGAATTGATAGGGAATAGTGTAGTAAAGAAGGCGAATGCCAGACTGAAGTTCCTCTACAGACAAGCACAGTGTCTACCTACTGAGGCTCACAGAACCCTATGTCTAGCCCTTATACAATGTCATACGGACTACGCTTGCTCTTCATGGTACTCTGCCTTGATAAAAAAAAACTGATAGACTACAAATCACCCAGAAGAAAATGGTAAGATTCATCCTGGACCTGGGTCCATGAGAACATGTAGGCCAGGATGAATTATAACAATTGGATATGCTGAATGTTGAAGACAGAGTAAAACAACTAAAGTTAAATCAAGTTTATAAAATTGCTCACAAACAGTGTCCAGAATATCTTGATGCCACTTTTGTCAAGGCTGGGAACCAAAGCAATCATAGTACTAGGGGGAGAGAGCACGAACTTTGTAGTACCTACAGTCAGTGGCCAGGCTTCAAACACCTTTAAATGTACAGCAATAAAGGAATGGAACAGACTGCCTACACATTATTTATTATTATTATTTATTATTAAAGATTCGCCGGTATTCTCCCGGCCTGGGCCTTTTCCAAGTGGTGGCCCGGCCTTGGCTCCCTCTTTAGGGAGTGTCTGAGACCTAAGTCTCCCATGGGAGGAGGCACAAGTACCTCCTCATCTTTGGGACCAACTGTCCCCAGGCCTAGCCACAAGCTAGGCCTCTGGTCTGCCATCCCCGCCCCAAGGGGACAAATGGGAATGACAGTCTTATGAGCTAAAGGCTCGGGCTCAGGCACCTACCCTACCCTAGAAGGGTTAGGCATGGTGTCGATTGCCTACACATGTCAAAGCCAGTCATAGCATGAGCCAATTCAAAAATAAAGCCAAAAGGTGCCTAATGAATGTAGCAACAGAAAGGAAGGCGAACGATTTTATATTTTTTAGCTAACACGCATGTAAATATAAATAACTCATTTTACCTTATACCTAGTATATATTCTTTATAGTGTAATAATAATATATTATCTCCTTCATAGTATAATAATAAGGTATTAAAAGGACCCCAATGGAAATAAGTCACTCTGTCTGACTTTTTTGGGTTATCCCAGGTTCTCTACACATATGCTGTTATGTATGATAATCTATGTAACTGTATTTGTGTATACCTAAATAAACTTACTTAATAACACCTAATCTTTGAGGTAATGTTTAATAAAATAATATGCTAGTGTGTCTTGTAACTTGTACGTTTTCTACCTTGAAAAATTTCATTTTCTATTAGTTAGGGGTTACCATGGCAACGCGAGACGCTCAGTCTGTGTGTATAAGATTTTAAGAGACGTGTACCTCAAAACATGTGAGCTTAATATATTTTTTCAGTTATTTAATACTTGATGTGCAAGATACATATGCACCACTTAGGGAACTTTCCTGCCAAAACCTTTCACCTGAGCAGTAGACTTTTTCAGTCCAGTACAAGCTCAGGCGAAACATTTCGACACTTTAACTGTAACTGATTCTCTATCATCCATAAATGCTCTCAGCTCCTTAAGTATAAATTGTGGCACAATTGTGTCAGAAGCCAGACACAGGTATGGTAGGACTGTAGATGGTGGAGTCTGAGTACACCTGTGGATTCCATCTCACATTAGTCTTCAGATGCATGATAAATTTGATGAATTGGCTGTTATATGCCTTCATAGAGGGAGTAGATTGCAATCTTGAGTTGATGGTTAGCAGTTTCAGAACAATAATGTGATAAAAACTTCAGCTAAACTTTAATGACTCAAGATTGAGGGGAACTGACACAGGTCAGTCCATCTATCATCATTTTATCATGCAGGAGGAGCCACATTTTATGGTGCATCCAACAAAATATGCAGACTCTTGGATGTCACTACCGCCCGGCTCCGGCTGGGTTACAAGTATCTCTGCGATGTCAAATCACCACCACCAGATGTAGACCAAATGAAATGTAAACTTTGCCAAATGAACTATCGTCACACCTTGCGTCATTATTACTGGGACGCGATCAGATTAATGAATTCAGCGACAAATCACTCAGAAATGTTCAAAAAGTGTCAGTATTTTATCCACAGTGGTATGTTACAAACCATTCTGGAAAAATACCCTGACTGTAAATAAAGCATTACCACTTTTGCGCGTGTGTGTGTGTGTGTGTGTGTGTGTGTGTGTGTGTGTGTGTGTATGTGTGACCTAATTAATGTTTGCATAACTCATTACAATTGTGACCAGATATAAACATGTAAATAGTTCATTATCACTGAAACTTGTTCAGTTATCTAGACTTTGCAGCTCAGTCACTGGGCCTTGCAGCTCAGTCACTGGGCCCATTATGCACCTCTGTAATTTTTTGACTACCACCCACAGGATGTGTATGGGGTGCATAATAAAAATATTAAACTAACTTGTGAGTGTAGACATGACGGATTGTTCAAGGTAGTGAATATAAAGATAAAAAAAGAAGAGAAAGACTGGGTACTGTGACCTCTTAAGATCATCTCTGCACCAGTCCCTCCATCAGTTCCGGTAGTCCCCCATCTCTCCACCACTCACCATTCTCTTCACCATTCCCCCCATCTCTCCACTGCTCACCATTCTCTCCATTCCCAATCCCTCCACTAATCACCATTCTTTCCATAATTCATCATTTTCAACACAATCCGCCATTCTCTCCATTCATCATTCTCTCCACCATTCATCATTATCCCCACCATTCACTATTTTCTTTCTTCACCATTCTTCATACCATCTACAGCAGGAAGATGGGCGTGGAGGTGGAACCAGAGTATGTGTTTGGTGTACGAGGTGAGGTACATGGGTGTGTGGTACACACGGACCCAGACACAGTAGTGTACCCTGCTGGAGCCTTCCTGGTACTGCACAACACCACCACACACCAACAACAATTCATCAGCATCGCTGAAGAGGCTACACCCACCGTTATAGCCATCTCGCCGAAAAGGTGAGTGTCTGTCTACCTGATGAGGATAACAAAATATGCAAGTTATAATAATTTATTAGAAATTGTTTCATCAGCCAGGAACTTTATCCATTCACACAGCAGCCAGTCCTCTTTATCACAGGTATCCTTTCACTGTTGTAATGAGTCAAATGGGAGACTGACGCCTTAAACTGTGATCACACAGAGACAAAGCATGAAAAGAGGTTCGTGTAGTGTTGGGTTCAGCACTTTCTGCGGCAAGCTAGTGAGGTCTCAGGTGATAGCTGTGTCCATTTGTTTTTTTACACAAATCAGGTTTACAGGCTAAGAGTTATCCTACTTCAGCTTGGTTCAGGTAAAATCAACTTTGCTACAACTTCGGAGGTGATAAAAGATCCTGAATTTTGTGGAATGGTGTTGGTAGTGGTGATTAAAGGTGATTCTAATCAGTCTGTTACATAGATATGTTACTTTGATAGCTAATCTTCCTTCACGGTAGTTCATCAGGTGGTTACAGATGTTATGATGTATTATGTCATCCCTCTGACAAGCATGTCTGTGTGCCTTGAGTCTACTGTTTAAGTCTCCGGAAGTTTCCCTCACATAAGATTTATCACATCCTCCACAAGGTATGATGCAAACCCCTGAAGTAGTACGTATTTGTTAGTTTAGTCACCGTTTTCATTAAGTCCATGGTGGTACTGGAGGCTATGTTTGTGACCACCATCAATCGCATAACCATTCTGATTAGCTTCAGTTTTTAAATACCGATCTTTAACTTCATGAGAAACTCTGGCCGCATTCTGTACTATTCCTTTTACGCGGATTGAGATAGAGGAACTGAGCTTATAGAATACGGGAATACCTTTCTGTCATTGCTCAACGAACGAAACACTAGTTATTAAATTCATTTAGAAGTGTTAAACATGTAGAGACCATTCAGTGCATCGTGAATGGGAAGGATGTAGTTTTTTTTTTTTACCGAAAACATAGTTCACTTGTTGTAAGCTGCTTGATGTTTCAGACAGTATCTATGTGTGTGCCGGGCAGGGGAGAGCCCAGCAGTCAGCGTGTGGGACGTGGTAGCCCGCAAACGACTCCGGTTCTTGAGCTGCGGTGAGATGACCAGTGAGAAGTACGTGGCCGCTGCCTTTAGTCCAGACGAAAGAATGGTAGCTGCTCAGGGAGGAGCCCCGGAGTGGACTCTCGTGCTGTTTCTCTGGGAGAAGGGCAAGGTACGTAACTTATTCCTTCTGACACCATCCCAGTACCAGTTATCCACACTAGAGATGCGGGAACCATGTTAGAGAACCCAGTGCCTCTGGTGAGGATTGCTCCGATGTATCAGTGTGTGCACCGGAGCCATAATATACATTCCAGTGTCGCTAGCATGTGTATAGCGCGCTAGGGATACCGGAGTCATGCTTGAGCACCGGTTCTCAAATAGGAGGGAGGGGTTGGCACTGTACTCAAAGGGGGCCATGGTACGGTTTTCGGGAGTCAACGGCTGGCTATAATGAATTATAAATGTTTCAAGAAAATATGGGAAATCTGAAATTAATAACTTTTTTATTATTTATTTTGACTTGGCGTGCATGATTGTGTTTGACCTCTAGCAGGTGTTATCAATCTTGAGAAAGTGTGAATGACGTGCGTTGAGGTAATATGTTTGACATGCAGGTGTTCTCTGTGCTGCGTCTGAGTGACATGCCAGGCCTGGGTCCCGTAGCTTCTCTCAGCTACCATCCTGAGGACAACGGCGTTATCTCCGTGGTGGGGGAGAGAGTCTTCAAGCTCTTCAGACTCAATGACAAACTTCTCAAGACTTGGGGGTACCAGGGAGGACAGAACCACAACTGTCAGTGTCAGGTTGGTCCGACTTCGCCATCTTAAATGCTAATTATCACGGTTGTGCTGTACGGCTCAACAATAAAAAATAATTTACACGGCATAAGCCGTCACAGCCCTTAAAAAATGATCAAGGTTGAAACATTCTCATATACTACTCACCATCAACATTTCTCAAAAGGTAACTTGGTTATGCTCAAAACAAATACCAATAAGATATTTAATGATTCATAGCTGCAAACTTTAGTTCTTAAAACAATTTACACACACACACACACACCTACATACACAGGAAGTCTGTAAACGAAATGATGGACTATGTAACAACAAAATGCAAGGAGGCAGAGGGAAGGTTTGTTCCCAAGGATAAAAGAAATAATGGGAAGACTAGAATGAGCCCTTGGTTTACCCGAAGGTGTAGGGAGGCAAAAACTAAGGGCGCTAGAGAATGGAAAAAGTACAGAAGGCAAAGGACCCAGTAAAATAGAGATTAGTCGATGAGCCAGAAATGAGCATGCACAGATAAGGAGGGAGGCCCAGTAGCAGTACGAAAACGACATAGCATCGAAAGTCAACTCTGACCGGAAACTGCTTTACAGCCACATCAGAAGTAAGACAACAGTCAAGGACCAGGTAATCAGACTAAGGAAAAAAAAGTGGGGAGCTCACAAGAAACGACCAAGAAGTACGTGAAGAGCTCAACACGAAATTCCAGGAAGTATTTACAGTGGAGGCAGAAGGGACACTGGGAAGACAAAACAGAGGGGTACACCAACAAGGAATATACCAACAAGTATTGGATGAAATACACAACCGAGGAGGTGAAGAAGCTCCTATGTGACCTTGATACCTCAAAGGCGTGGGTCCTTAGAGAGGGAGCTGAGACACTGTGTGTGCCACTAACTACAATCTTCAACACATCCCTGGAAACTGGGCAACTACCTGAGGTATGGAAGACGACAAATGTGTTCCCCATCTTTAAGAAAGGAGACAGAAACGAAGCACTAAACTATAGACCAGTGTCACTGACGTGTATAGTATGCAAAGTCATGGAGAAGATTATCAGGAGGAGAGTGGTGGAGCACCTGGAATGGAACATGGTTATAAACGACAGCTAACACGGGTTCATGGAAGGCAAATCCTGTGTCACAGACTTACTGGAGTTTTATGACAAGGCAACTGAAGTAAGACATGAGAGGGAGGGGTGGGTTGATTGCATTTTCTTGGACTGCAAGAAGGCCTTCGACACAGTTCCTCCCAAGAGATTAATGCAGAAGCTAGAGGATCAGGCATATATAACAGGAAGGACACTGCAATGGATCAGAGAATACCTGACAGGGAGAGAACAGTGAGTCATGGTACGTGATGAGGTATCACAGTGGGCGCCTGTGACGAGCGGAGTCCCACAGGGGTCAGTTCTGGAACCAGTGCTATTCTTAGTGTATGTGAATGACATGACGGAAGGGATAGACTCAGAAGTGTCCTTGTTTGCGGATGATGTGAAGTTAATGAGGAGAAATAAATCAGATGCGGATCAGACAGGTCTACAAAGAGACCTGGACAGGCTGGACACGTGGTCCAGTAACTGGCTCCTAGAATTTAACCCTGCCAATGCAAAGTCATGAAGATCGGGGAAGGGCAAAGAAGACCGCAGACAGAGTATGGGCTAGGAGGCCAAAGACTGCAAACCTTACTCAAGAAGAAAGATCTAGGGGTGAGTATAACACCGAGCACGTCGCCGGAAGCACACATTAACCAGATAACTGCTGCAGCATATGGGTGCCTGGCAAACCTGGGAATAGCCTTCCGATACCTTAGCAAGGAATCGTTCAAGACACTGTACACTGTGTACGTCAGGCCCATACTGTGGTATGCGGCACCAGTTTGCAACCCACACCTGGTCAAGCACGTCAAGAAATTAGAGAATGTGCAAAGGTTTGCAACAAGGCTAGTTCCAGAGCTAATGGGAATGTCCTACGAAGAAAGGTTAAAGGAAATTGGTCTGACGACACTGGAGGACAGGAGGGTCAGGAGTGACATGATAACGACATACAAAATACTGCGTGTAATAGATAAGGTGGACAGAGACAGGATGTTCCAGAGATGGGACACAGAAACAAGAAGTCACAATTGGAAGATGAAGACTCAGATGAGTCAAAGGAATATTAGGATGTAATTCTTCAGCCGCAGAGTTGTTAGGAAGTGGAATAGTCTGGCAAGTGATGTAGTGGAGGCAGGAACCATACATAGTTTTAAGACGAGGTATGATAAAACTCATGGAACAGGGAGGAGGAGGTCCCAGTAGCGGTCAGTGAAGAGGCGGGGCCAGGAGCCGAGTCTCGACTCCCCCCCTGCAACCACAATTAGTACACACACGCATGCACACACACACACACACACACACACACATATATATATATATATATATATATATATATATATATATATATATATATATATATATATATATATTATATATATAAATTTTCTCTTATACATTGAAAGATAAATTTTTTCATTAATGTTAATGTAAAAATCAATAATTTTGTACCAAAAGAACCTTAGAAAACTTACCTAACTTTTATAACAAACGCAATTTCATTTAGCTTAATCCAACTAAATATATTTTAGCTAGGTTTACAATAATTTAATAATAAGGCAAAACAATGAAATATTTTTTTTCGTTAGGCTCAGAATGATTTTTGCGAAAGTATTGCATACACAAATTCTCGCTGGCCTTATTCGGCGTTCCCGTTTAAGCCAGAATCGCAAGTTTTACCTATTCGGTACCCTGGTCACCCTGCCTTGGTGGGATATGGCCAGTTTGATATATATATATATATATATATATAATATATATATATATATATATATATATATATATATATATATATATATATATATATATATATATATATATATATATATATATATGTCGTGCCGAATAGGCAGAACTTGCGATCTTGGCTTAAATAGCAACGCTCATCTTGCCATATAGGACAAGTGAAAATTTGTGTATGCAATAATTTCGCCAAAATCATTCTGAACCTAACGAAAAAAATATATTTCACTGGGTTTGTTTAGTATTAAATTATTGTAAACAAATCTAAAATATATTTTGTTGGGTTAGGCTAAAATAAATTGCTCTTGTTATAATAAGGTTAGGTAAGTTTTCTAAGTTCCTTTTGGTGCAAAATTATAAATTTTTACATCAACATTAATGAAAAAAATATATCTTTAAACGTATAAGAGAAAATTTTAGAAAGGACTTAATTTTAAATGAGTTCTTGCTAATTGGCCAGTTTTACATATTCGGCACGACATATATATATATATATATATATATATATATAATATATATATATATATATATATATATATATATATATATATATATATATATATATACATGAGAGAGAATAAAAAATATGGGTCAATAAATATTCTTTTTTTACATTAATGGAGGGTGATAGCGCTTTAGGCTCACAAACGAAGGGCGCAGATTCGATCCTGGGGCGGATGCATGCACTGAGCATGTTTCCTTTTACATGTTACCTCTGTTTATCTTAACAGTAAATAGGTACCCAAGTGTTAGCTATTTGTTATGGATTACCTCTGAGGGTAGATGGTGGTAGTCCTCAATAAGGCTGGACTTGGAAACGAGCTGAGGTAGAATAACAGTTCTTAGCTTATAAATAAGCTAAGGTGAGATCGAATTTGAATGCCTCCCATTTCACAGGCGATATATGAATCCTGTGAATTTAGTACTTTTCTCTGATTAAAATAATATAGCCATACTTGAGCTAAGGTAGGATAGCAGTTCATTGTCTGTTAATGAGTTGAGGAAGGATAATATTTCTTAGTCATACAGTTTAGCTTTCTTGGATTATCCTGAATTACTAGAATTAAGAGTTTATTTTTCTCACGTATGTGTTGACGCAGGAATGGGCAGACCAACACACACTGCTGGTGGGAACGGAGGCAGCTACCGTGCTGCTGCTGGAGGAGGGAGAGCTCAGGAACGAGATCCACATCACCGACCCAGAGTTGGGACCGTAAGGGCTCCTTTATCTTTTTTAACCCTTCCTGAGGACTGCCCTGATGTTGATGAAGGCGCCTTAATCCTAGGAATTGGAGCTACCCTCCTCTATTTTCCTTGGATCTGTCCTAATCACCTTTCATACCCCAGTTGCTGTAGGACCCTTATGGGATGAGTGCTCCCCATTAATATAATAATAATAATGCGTGTGAAACAGAAACCTTAATTATTTTACACAATGATAGGATTGCTAGTATCTTTTCTTTCTGTCTTATAAACACGTAAGAAAACAGGTACGTCTTGCTACTTCCACTTACAGTTAGGCACCTACACATACATGTACAAGTATATGTATATATACTCATCTGATTTTTCTTCTGTTTTCTAAACAGTTCTTCCTTTCATCTTCATGGGAAAGTGGAAAAGAATCTTTTCCCCGTAAGCCATGCGTGCCCTAAGAGGCGATTAAAATGCCGGGAGCAATGGGTTAGCAATGGGCTGGTTGAATGTGAGTGCAGTGCAGATGATTAAGAGATGATTGCTAGTGTTGTGAATGAAGAAGTTGGATGTCCTAGCACTAAGGGAAAGCTGAAGGCGGTTGGGGAGTTTCAGTGAGGAGAAATAAATGGGATTAGGTCATGAGTATCTGAGAGAGTTAGAGTTAAGGAAGGAGTAGCCATAATCTTGAAGGATCAGTTATGGAAGGAGAAGAGGGAATATAAATGTATAAATTCAAGGATTATATTGGCTAAAATAAGAGTTGGATGCGAAAAGTGAGTTATAATAAGTGTTTATGAACCTGGAGAATTGAGAGGAGAGAGATTTTGAGGATGTTAAGCGTGTGTTTAGGAATTTTTGAACCAAGTGAGGGAGTAATTGTGGTAGGGGACCTAAATGCTAAAGTGGGAGAAACGGTTATAGAAGATGTGGTAAATAAGTTTGGGGTGCCAGGGATAAATAATAATGGGGGATTGGGCTTTGACTGAACTTTGTATATAAAGAGGTATGGTAATAGGTAATACATATTTTAAGAGACAAAGGATAAATAATGACTGTAGTTTGTTGGATAATGTATTGGTAGATAAAAGACTGATGGGTAGACGTCAGGATGTACAAGTTCAGAGGGGCCACAGATATATCACATCATTTTTTTGTGAGAGTAAAAGGTAGATGAGATGTAAGGAGAATGGCATCAGCAAGTAAGAGAGAGAGGTGAAGGTTATAAACTAAAGGAGGAGGCAGTTAGGGTAAGATATAAACAGCTATTGAAGAAAGATGGTCTTGTGAGATTATAGGCAATGAGGTTGAAGAAGAATGGGATAGATTTAAGAATGTAGTGTTAGTGTGTTCAGCACAAGTGTGTGGTTACAGGACAGTGGGTGCGGGAAGGAAGAAGAGCAACTGGTAAAATGATTAGGTAAAGAGAGTAGTAAGAGAGAAAAAGTTAGCATATGAGAGGTTTTTACAAAAGAGAAGTGATATAATGAGGGAGGAGTATATGGAGAAAAATGGAGAGGTTAAGAGAGTAGTGAAGGAATGTAAAAGGAGAACAAATGAGAGAGTAGGTGAGGTGCTATCAACAAATTTTGCTGAGAATAAGAAAACGATCTGGAGTGAGATTAATAAGTTGAGAAAACCTGGAGACTGAATGGACTGGACAGTTGATAATAGGAGAGGAGAGTTATTAGATTGAGAGTTGGAAGTATCGGGAAGATGGAGGGAATATTCTGAGGAACTGTTAAATGCTGATGAAGATAGGGAAGCTGTGATTTCGTTCTTTGGACAGAGAGGAATAACATCTTGCAGGAAAGAGGAAGAACCAGTAGTGAGTGTGAAGGACGTGTGTGAGGCAGTAGGTAGAACGAAAGAAAATAAAGCAGCTGGAATTGATGGGATCAAGACAGAAATGTTAAAAGCAGATGGAGATATAGTTTTGGAATGGTTTTTACTTTTATTTAATGTATGAAAGAGGGTATAAATCTGTAGTGGAAGGAAGGCAGGGTAGGGGTCATCCTAGGAAAGGCTGAAGGGAGGGGGTAAAGGAGGTTTTGTGCACGAGGGGCTTAGACTTCCAGTAAGCGTGTGTGAGCATGTTCGATAGGAGCGAGTGGAGGCAAAATACTTTTTATGACTTGACTTTCTGTCAGAGTGAGAGCAAAGTAACATTTATGAAGGGATTCAGGGGAAACCGGTTAGTCGGACTTGAGTCCTAGAGGTGCGAAGTACAGTTCCTATCCTCTGAAGGAGGAGTGTAAATATACTGAAGTTTTTAAACTGTAGTGTAGGCACGCCTCTGGCAAGACAGTGATGGAGTGAATAATGAAAGTGTTTCTTTTTTTTCGGGTCACCCTGCCTCGGTGGGAAACGACCGATGTGTTAGTAAATAATTGAATAAAATAATAATATTGTGCACGGTTTTGCTCTGGAATTAAAGCTTGATTTTTTTAGTCTGTTACAAGGGGAGAGTTTCCTGCACAGCAACACTGATCCTCTGTGTGAACACACCATCTGAATGACACTAGAACCTTTAAGCCCATTGGCGATATCATCTCTATCCCTGCCTGTTTCAACATTCAAATATCACTTTCTTTACTAGTTACCATCATCTGCTACAACATATTCTCCATATTTTATTAATATGCTATGAAACTGAGTTACATGAAGCTGATATATATATATGTGTGTGTACAGGGAGTGTGAGAGACGGTCCCCTGGTGAGGGTGTGGTGGCTCTGGCTGGCAGGAGTCCTGGACCTAAACATCGTCGAGTTACAGCTCTCATGGTGTTCACTGGAGGCTTCCTCTGTGCCTGCGGCCCAGACAAGGTCTTCGTCTTCCAGAAAAGTGACGATCTTAACGAACATTACTTTCAGGTAGATCCGAGGCTCTTACTGACGATTTTTAATATACAGTTTGCTCCTCAAAACTTGTCTCCATTAACGATTTTTGTAGCATATTCAATGAATTGTTTTAACAAGTTATCATTTACTATGAACCAGATTATGATTTATACTTCATCATGCAGGACTTGCAGCAGAGGGGTTACAGAAACTAAAGAGTGTGTTAGAAATTGTGGGGGATTTTTTCACAAGAACACAATCTTGAATTAACCTTCCACCCACATAACTGGGGAGAACTCTTGATACAAAAACAAATAGTAACTTACTGATGCTGATGTATCTTGGAGACCTGTGGGACTTTAGGAACGCTGGAGCTGAGAACAATGTTCCTTCTTCAGTGCCCACCGTCTCAGCTCCCAAACTAACTTCGGGACCCTGGGTTAGGAACATATTGTTCTTGAATATTGATTATGAAAATTTACGCCAGTAGCACTGGCTAATTAGTGGATTGTATAATTATAAAGAAGTTATTCGGGCTTGACAGATCTAACTATTTTTTCAAACAATTAAAAAAATTAAAGAAGGAAAAATTATAGAAATACATAGGTCCGCCTCTGGACGAGTGAGTTCACTCCTGCTATTATGATTATACGTATATTAATTAGGCATTGTGAATTAGTGTGGAAAATTGCATTTAGCTGAATGTATAATTATATACATAACAGTAAATGAACACAGATAATTATTATTTATCAGTTAGACAAGTAGGAATTTGGGACACCTAGGTCGCAAAAAATGTGCCCCTTCGATACCTACCACTGTCATATCCACAAGTTGCTCTGGACCTATTAATCATAAATGAAATATACATCACCAGGAATGCTGGTAAATATATAAATTTGTGGACTATATTAAAATTAAAGGATTATATATACACACATTTACATAACAGAAGGAAAATATCTTAATATCACTCACCAATTTGACTGGAGATTAATGTGTCATGTACAGGACCCCCTTTTGCCTACATTTATGAAGAATTTACTGGCCAGAAATTAAACATAATTTAGACAGCTTATCTGAGGTTCCTGGAGTTGTCCTGTCCTGTCGCCTGATTCTCAAATTATGCAGGAATGCACATCCAACAATTTCGCCTCCTATTTGAGAGGTGTCAGCCCAATTTTAACCTCTAGAGCACGAAAAATTCTTCCCATTATTAATTAATGTCTTACTCCATTCAAACAAAATGGCGACTCCCTGTCTGCGCAGGCGCAGGTCCAGTTTCCCATTTTCGATAACATACTTCTTTTAAAAATACAATATAGGGCATCTATTTACCTATAAATTACCGTATTTCCGGAAAATGTACAGTATTTTCCACAATTAGTATTAACCCATGTTTCTTAATAATACTTCATATTTAATGAATCACATGGTAAAAGTATTCATAATCTCTTCTAATTTCATCAAATTAAGTTTTTTATAGTATATTAATATAGTATATCAACATGCTGTCATAGACTGCTTGTACACTGAGAGATGTACATGTTTCATTGTATGTACACTGTTTGTGGTTGGAAGAACTGTGGTGCTAGTTACACCCAAGTAGTCGATAGGTTGCTGAATGAACATAGCAATAATGTGGAGTTGTTACAGAGGTACATGCTGCGTCTGTGTGAGCCAAGCCCAGCAGCACTCGTGAGTGGTCGAGGGGAGCACAATATTACAGTGCTCTCTCTCTCCCCCGGGGAGAAGACCATCGTAGCTGCTGCACACACTGGCCAGCTCTTCACCAACCCTTTGCCCAGTTTAGAAGCCTCAAAGGTAAGTATGTTAGTTGATTTGTACCACCTGAACGACTAGTTTGTACAGCACATGTTCTTCCTGTGGGTGGCTAATCTGTTGTGCGACCCACAATTATCCTGTGAATGACTAGGATTTCAGTTCTTAGCCTGTAAATTAAGCTGCAAGAAAAAGATAACTCCGTTCCTTCACTCCCAGCTGCCGAGCTTGGTGTTCTCGCCTCTACACGCGCGCCATCATCAAGGTGGGATAGTGGACGCTGACTCGTGTCTCTGGAAGCCCTTCTTGGTGACTGGAGGAGAGGACAGGACCCTGCGTGTGTGGGACTACCAACGTCACACACTCCTCCTCACACACACCTTCAGGGATGATATCTTCTCCCTCTCCCTGCACCCAACAGGTTCATTCTTATCCTAACTGTTTGTAGTTATGAATGTGATGCCTGGTGCACTGTACTCTGTGTATATATGTTTAGTAATACATATGTCGTGCCGAATAGGTAAAGCTTGCGATTTTGCCTTAAATAGCAACGCTCTTCTTGCTGAATAAGGCAAGCGAAAATTTCTGTATTCAATAATTTCGCAAAAATCATTCTGAACCTAACGAAAAAAAATATATTTCATTGTGTTTGTTTATTATTAAATTATTGTAAACTTATTTAAAATATATTTAGCTGGATTAGACTAAATTAAATTGCGCCTGTCATAATAAGGTTAGGTAAGTTTTCTAAGGTTCTTTGGGTACAAAATTATTAATTTTTACATTAACATGAATGAAAAAAATTTGTATTTAAACGTACAAGAGAAAATTTTAGAAAGGACTTAATTTTAAATGAGTTCTTGTTAACTGACCAGTTTTACCTATTCGGCACGATATATATATATTATATATATATATATATATATATATATATATATATATATATATATATATATATATATATATATAATATATATATATATGTGTGTGTGTATGAAATCCAATATAAAGAAAAGCGTAAGTAGAGCAGATGTTATTACCTACAATACCTCATGTCAGAGAAGAGGTGGGTGGTTCTTGGTCCGGTTGTCATAGCTCCCGGACCCTCATCTTAACTTATCAACTGGCTTTACTGCCTGCTGGCGTGCAGGGCTGCATGTGGCGGTGGGTCTGACGGAGGCGCTGAGGTTGTACCACCTGCTGTTCGACTGTGTGCGCAGTTACAGCGAAGTGCGCACCAGGAGGTGTGAGGTATGCACCTTCTCCCCCAGTGGTCACCTCCTGGCCTCCGCTGATGGCAACCTCCTCATCATCACCTCCAACATCACCCTCAAGCGAGTGTTCACCCTCAAGGGGCACTCAACCAAGGTGGGTCTTCAGGGATCACTTGGTTACTTTTAGCTGACAGTCTATCAACCACAACAGTCATTAAGGTTGTCTGTCACCTTACAATAGAATTTAGTCTCTCAGTGTATATCCCTTCAAGAAAGATACACTGATGATGGTGAAAGAATTAAATTTGTCTCCAATTCCCTACACACTGTATGACTCCTACGGGTTACCGCTTCCCTAGTGAGAGATATGTATCCGTTTGTGGATATACCTTATGCCGAGTGCTCAGTGTATCAGCAGAGGCAAAGATATTCATGGAAAACAGGGGATATGCATGGGGTAAGGGGGAATATGCATGTCATGAGATGAAACATATGACCCATGGCTTCAGCATGGGACTGAACCCGCTCCACCGGGGTACGAGGACCCATACACCACATATGGGCTCCATGTGGAATCAAAACAATATTCACCCGCGTGTTTGGTCCCAGAATGACTCATGAGTATTTCACTTATAATTCCACTCGGATATATGTGTTAAAAGTTGTAGTGATTCTATCTATTCTTTATTTACAGCAGTATCTATTGGCACGCCTATTTATCAGTCCTCTGTGTGTGTGTGTGTGTGTGTGTGTGTGTGTGTGTGTGTGTTACAAGCGTGTTACAGATGAGACAAACATTACATGTGTGTTACAGGTAACAGGTGTGGGTTGGTACCCAGACAGTTGTGGTGTGATGTCATGTAGCAGTGACGGTGCAGTGGTAGGATGGGACCTGCGTCTAGGACAATCTATCTGGCAGGTACCACCATCCTCTCATTACCATTATTTTTGGGGGGCAGTGTTGGTAGGGCTTGTGGTAGTGGTCGTGACGGTGGTGGTAGTGATAGTAATAGTAACCAGTAGTACTAGTAATAATAGCCAATAGTAGCAGCGGTGGCGGTGGTTAAAGTGATAGTTTTAGTAGTAATAGTAATAGTGGTGGTAGAACTAATAGTAGTAGTGCTAATGATAACAGAAGTCCAGAAGTCATAAAATAATAATAGAAGCAGCATAAAATATCTTCATTAATAGTCTTCTAGCGCAGACCGACAGATTTTTCATCACTTGATGAATGAAACTCATCTTGTATGATGGAATTTCGTAGGAAAAACGCTTCACGCTTTTGTTCTCACAGTGTACGTCCCATATAGAATAGTGTACCACACACTCCAGGTGTTCCCTCAATGTAACTGTCATACAGAACTTCACACTGCGAGTGTTCCATCCATGAAACAGTCGTATAAGATAGTATAGCCACACACTGCGGGTTTTGGAACAACCTTAACTGCTGGTGGTATATGCAGGTATCGTCGTTAACGTCTGCGAGATATCTGACGGCGACACTGTCGCTAGACGGGAAGCCCACTCTCCTGGCAGGCCATGCTGCAGCCTTCATGGAGATCACCGGTGGACAGGTGAGTCAAGCTGTTGGTGATCTTTCTCAATACTGAGCGATTAGGTCTACATTTTTCTGACACACCGCCCGTTCCCACAATTCATAGTTTCGTGATAATGTAAACTTGAATGTATACAGAAAGAGACACAATATATACCGAAATGAATACTCTGAGCAGCTCTAAAACAGATTAGACAAATACTAGAGTGGTAATATGTGGGTGTCATTGGGACTTGTCTAACATGGGAAAGTAAGCTTAAGGAAATGTTTCTTTATTCATATGTTAAATGACATTGCACAAGTCACTAGTGGTTCGGGAATGAAATAAATCGTGTGACTTATTCCATAAAATAATATAATGTCCAGAGCTGGATTATGGGTAAGCAACCAGGGTGCTAGCCCCAGGATCCTCACACATATACTAATTATATATATATATATATATATATATATATATATATATATATATATATATATATATATATATATATATATATAATTGTGTGTGGAGAGAGAACACAAAGTTGCTTAACACGCCACATACCAATACAAGTACGTAATATGACAATGAAGTTATTGCCCTGGGGGCCCCTTACACGTTGCTTGCCCTGGGGTCCTCACATTTTACTCGTTCTGAGGTCCCTACGACTCTGCATCGAGTTGTATATGATTGATGAGCGTTTGTTGTACAGCTGCTGCAAGAGATGAATTACGAGGGAGGAGGTGAGATTGTTAGTGCTGGGGTGGCTGCAGTGAAGACACTCATGGTGCTGGGGACCTCCTCTGGTCGCCTACTCCTCAACAAGTTTCCTCTCCACATGGCTCAAGACTTTACATCCCTGGCAGCTCACAGCGCTCCTCTTGTCAAGGTCAGTGACCACAGTAGTATACATGTACTCGTATAAATAGCTACCTTGTTTTTCTACAAACAGAACATACTTAAAGCAACGTTTCGGTCCATCCTGGACCATTATCAAATCAATGGCATTACATACCGAGAAGCATGTTAATAAGACCCAATATGCGGTTTATGGAATCGTAGTGAGACGATGTTTCGTCCACCGGGGACTGTCAGTTCTCACAACTGTGAATTGATAAAAGTCCCTGTGGACGAAACGTCTTTTCAAGAAAATTATATGCACCGTTTATTGTGTCTCATTAGCATACTATGTCAAGTCACAACTCCACGAGAAAATGCTGGAAAGTCATGAAGGAGGTGAGTAAAGAAACTGGGTGTTATCCGACTTCAGTGACTCGCTTTTCGGGGATTAACATTGGTGTGTCAGTGTGTCAGGTATTCACCTGCTGGGTAAAAGAAATACCCACACAATGTTGTATATCTAATGATGGTAATTACTAACAGAAAACAGATGAGGCTGTGTAACCCTCGTCTGTGAGATGAATTTTTATCTTCCTCGGGCTCGCTACTGTGAAAGTAATAAGGGTTTGGAGCACCTTTTTTTATAATAATAATTAACAATAATTTGCCTCTGGTACTTTATGAATTCTAGTATTTTTTTATTATTTTATACGAGGCTGTTATTGATTTTTTATTAAATTCAATTAAAACTGACGAAAGCCACCAAAAAGTCTCCCTCACTTTACCATTATTTTTAAAAGGTAATCAGTTTTCTTCTCCCAAGGAAAAACAGTTTTTGTTTCCACAATATAACTGTTATAGAATATAGATTATGGTAATTACACACTACGGATGTACAGAATTTTGTTTAATTAACAAACATAGCCGAGTGTTTGCTGTTAATGCTGGGGTTAATCACTCGTAATATTGACATGACAGGTGGTAGTGACGGGTAATTTTGACATGACAGGTGGTCGTGACGGGTGACGAGAGTAAAGTAGTGACGTGTGGTGGTGATGGTGTGGTGCTGGTGTGGAGGGTGGCACCACTCTCAGACAAGTGCCCAGGATTCCTTGCAGCCAGGGACAGGCTCGATGACCTCCCCGTCGTGCTGGAGCTCTTGGTCTCCCGCTCTGACCTGCAGGTAATACTCATAATAGCAACGATGTATATCAGTGGCTGCAAGATCCTGGGGAAGATATCCATATATTGCATAACCCCAGCCCCTTCTACCTCGGTGAACGTGAAAAGACTGTTGCAGAGTGCAGTGTAAGCTTCTAATACAGTTAATAAACATTGAAGCTAATCAGAGTCTGTTCACGGGTTATCACATGGACACTATTATCCCATTTTCTTCAATAAAAATAGCAAATTAGGTCATACACAGCCCAAAACTAATTCTAACCTTCCATTAAGAAGGCTCTTACTTTCTTGGACTATTTCCAGTGATCTCTCGACAACTCCATAACCTTTGGCAACAACACTGATCAGAGTTGGGTCATAAGATACTGTTTTTTGTCAAACAGCATTTGGGATTCTGCCAGTCTTCCCACGGCAGCAGTGTTGGGGAGGCTGCACTCTCCTTCATAAGTTTTGGCCACACGCCCCTCGCTAACGGATACATCGTGGAAAGACCTCTGTGAGGACTGTCAGCTCGCACTGTCTGTTCACCATATCTTAATACAGTGAGAAAAAATAAACAGCAAAACCTGAGCACTTTCACCTGGTTACAGTCTTCAGAGGAACAGGAAGGAGAGACAAGAGCATCACATTGTTACCTTGGAGAGGTGATATGTCACTCAGGCATCACACAAGTGAGGTGATGGCGCACTCACGTATCACGCAAGTGACGTGATGCCGCACTCACGTATCACACAAGTGAGGTGATGGCTCATTCACGTATCACGCAAGTGAGGTGATGAATGTTTCACTTGTATATTAATATGTGTTTGAGTATGAGTACACATACACACGTATACATACGTACTAATTCCTACGCACAAACGTACACACATATATACATATTTTTAATTTTTCCCTGCATTAGAATTTTGACCACCCTCTACTATTCTTTTAGCATGCACTGAGGTAGAGGAGGCTGGGCTTGTGGAATGAGGGGTGCCATTCGCGGGGCGCGAGGCTACTGAAATGCATCTAGATAATAATAATCATGATGTATATCAACTTGACATTTCACAATATGCAGAGAGAGAGAGAGAGAGAGAGAGAGAGAGAGAGAGAGAGAGAGAAGAGAGAGAGAGAGAGAGAGAGAGAGAGAGAGAGAGAGAGAGAGAGAGAGAGAGAATAGTTACTAAGGTTGTGTGTTGTTTACAGAGTACCAGGGAACATGTAGAGGAGCTTGAGAAGCGAGTGTCTTACCTCACACGAGACAAGGAGGTGCACCTTAACCTGCAGCAGCAGGAGTTCTCTGCTAGCAGGGAGGCTCTCGTCGCCCGCTACCAGACTATCGTAGACCACATGAACAACAACATACAGGTAACTGCATATTACACCACAACATACAAAAATTACAAGGTAAACAACCTCTGTTAGTAGTAACTGGAGATTCAAAGCCTCTGAGAAGTGATTGAAAAGTCTTCAGGGAATATATTTCATTCTCACTCAGGTCTTTTAAGTACTTTTTATTCCCTACCACTGCCTTATTTATCATATCTTTCACTTAGACTCTGCACATAATGTTGGGTCGAATCACCTAACATTTGCTGAGTTAGTACTTACAATAGATACAGTTAAGGAACATTTCCTTACATTTTCAAGATTAATAACACCACATATTTTATACCAGGACAGTGTCCCATACCACATGTCAAAACGGGTCAAGAAATGGTTGCAAGAGAACAGTCTCAATGTTATTCAGTGGCCAGGGAACAGCACTGAGTCCCATCGAAAACTGTTGGAATGAAAGTCAAGTTTCATTGTAAAAATACGTCAGTAGTGTCACACTTGACGCAGGAGATACAACAGTCTGGCATCAAGAAACTGACTTGACTTACTTTTAACAAAAAAATGATTCTATGCCTACTTGCCTGAAACTGGAAATGAAATCATGTGGAAACATGACTAAATATTACAATTTAAATTAAAAATTTTCTGGTCATTTATCCTGTTACTAGAAATTTATTTGTAATTATAAACTGTAGAAAGAAGCATTTCTCGCGTGATCTGTCAGTGGCCCATCATCATTTACAGAGTTTGTAACTCGAATGTAATTTCTATGTCAATAACTTGTGGTACTAAAGAACAGAATTAGTATAATATACTCAGGATAGGTAGTAGTTGGTAGACAGCAACCACCCAGGGAAGTACTACCGTCCTGCCAGATGACTGTGAAACAGAAACCTGTAACTCTTTTGCATGATGATAGGATTGCTGGTTTCTTTTTCTGTCTCATAAACACGCTAGATAACAGGGATATCTTGCTACTCCTACTTACACTTTGGTCACACTTCACAGACATGCACATGCATATATATATATATACATACATCTAGGTTTTTCTCCTTTTTCTACATAGCTCTTGTTCTTCTTTATTTCTTCTATTGTCCATGGAGAAGTGGAAAAGAATCTTTCCTCCGTAAGCCATGCGTGTCGTTGAGGCGACTAAAATCCCCGGAGCAATGGGCTAGTAACCCCCTTTTCCTGTAGACATTTACTAGAAAAGAGAAGAAGAAAAACTTATAAAACTGGGGTCTTGAATGTGCGTGGATGTAGTGCGGATGACAAGAAACAGATGATTGCTGATGTTATGAATGAAAAAAAGTTGGATTCTGGCCCTAAGCGAACAAAGCTGAAGGGGGTAGGGGAGTTTCGGTGGGGGGAAATAAATGGGATTAAATCTGGAGTATCTGAGAGAGTTAGAAACAAAAGGGAAGGGGTTTGCAGTAATGTTGAATTTATCAGTTATGGAAGGAGAAAAGAGAATATGAATGTGTAAATTCAAGAATTATGTGATTAAAGTAAAGGGTTTGGGTGCGAGAAGTGGGTCATAATAAGCGTGTATGCACCTGGAGAAGAGAGGAATGCAGAGGAGAGAGAGAATTTTGGGAGATGTTAAGTGAATGTATAGGAAACCATTTAACCAAATGAGAGAGTAATTGTGGTAGGGGACCTGAATGCTAAAGTAGGAGAAACTTTTAGAGGGGGTGGTAGGTAAGTTTGGGGTGCCAGGTGTAAATGATATGGGAGCCCTTTGATTGAACTTTGTATAGAAAGGGGTTTAGTTATAGGTAATACATATTTTAAGAAAAAGAGGATAAATAAGTATACAAGATATGATGTAGGGCGAAATGACAGTAGTTTGTTGGATTATGTATTGGTGGATAAAAGACTATTGAGTAGACTTCAGGATGTACATGTTTATAGAGGCGCCACAGATATATCAGATCACTTTCTAGTTGTAGCTACACTGAGAGTAAAAGGTAGATGGGATACAAGGAGAATAGAAGCATCAGGGAAGAGAGAGGTGAAGGTTTATAAACTAAAAGAGGAGGCAGTTAGGGTAAGATATAAACAGCTATTGGAGGATAGATGGGCTAATGAGAGCATAGGCAATGGGGTCGAAGAGGTATGGGGTAGGTTTAAAAATGTAGTGTTAGTGTTCAGCAGAAGTTTGTGGTTACAGGAAAGTGGGTGCGGGAGGGAAGAGGAGCGATTGGTGGAATGAGATGTAAAGAGAATAGTAAGGGAGAAAAAGTTAGCATATGAGAAGTTTTTTACAAAGTAGAAGTGATGCAAGAGGGAAGAGTATATGGAAAAAAAGAGAGAGGTTAAGAAGAGTGTGAAGCAATGTAAAAGAGAGCAAATGAGAGAGTGGTTGAGATGTTATCAACAAATTTTGTTGAAATAAGAAAAAGTTTTGGAGTGAGATTAACTAGTTAAGAAAGCCTAGAGAACAAATGGATTGTCAGTTAAAAATAGGAGAGGAGAGTTATTAAATGGAGAGTTAGAGGTATTGGGAAGATGGAGGAATATTTTGAGGAATTGTTAAATGTTGATGAAGATAGGGAAGCTGTGATTATCGTGTATAGAGCAAGGAGGAATAACATCTTGTAGGAGTGAGGAAGAGCCAGTTGTGAGTGTGGGGGAAGTTTCGTGAGGCAGTAGGTAAAATGAAAGGGGGTAAGCAGCGCCGGGATTGATGGATAAGATAGAAATGTTAAAAGCAGGTGGGGATATAGTTTTGGAGTGGTTGGTGCAATTATTTAATAAATGTATGAAAAGGGTAAGGTACCTAAGGATTGGCAGAGAGCATGCATAGTTCCTTTGTATAAAGGCAAAGGGACAAAGAAGAGTGCAAAAATTATAGGGGGATAAGTCTGTTGAGTATACCTGGTAAAGTGTATGGTAGAGTTATCATTGAAATAATTAAGAGTAAGACGGAGAATAGGATAGCAGATGAACAGGAGGCTTTAGGAAAGGTGGGATTTTGGACCAGGTGTTTACAGTGAAACACATAAGTGAACAGTATTTAGATAAGGCTAAAAGGTCTTTGTGGCATTTTGGGATTTGGAAAAGGCGTATGACAGGGTGGATGGGGGGGCAATGTGGCAGATGTTGCAGGTGTATGGTGTAGGAGGTGGGTTACTGAAAGCAGTAAAGAGTTTTACGAGGATAGTGAGGCTCAAGTTAGAGAGTGGGAAAAGAGGGAAATTATTTCCCAGTAAAATTTAGGCCTAAGACAAGGATGTGTGATGTCACCGTGGTTGTTTAATATATTATAGATGGGGTTGTAAGAAAAGTAAATGCGAGGGTCTTGGCAAGAGCGTGGAGTTAAAAGAAAAGGAAATCACACAAAAAGTGGGGGGTTGTCACAGTTTGCTCTTTGGCTGATGACACTGTCTCTTGGGAGATTCTGAAGAGAAGTTGCAGAGATTGGTGGATGAATTTGGAGGGTGTGCAAAAGAAGAAATTTAAAGTGAATACAGGAAAGAGTAAAAGGGATGAGGATAACCCAAAAGATTAGGTGATGAAAGATTGGGAAACAGATTGGAGGGAGAGAGTATGGAGGGGGTGAATGTAATTCAGATATTTGGGATGGGCTGTCAGCGGATGGGTCTATGAAAGATGAGGTGAATCATAGAAATTGATGAGGGAAAATGGTGAGTGGTGCACTTAGGGGTCGGGGGAGACAAAGAACTTTGTCCTTGGAGGCAAAGAGGGAATGTATGAGAGTATAGTTTTAAACCCAAAGTCTTATATGGTGTGAAGCATGGGTGTGAATGTTGCAGCGAGGAGAAGGTGGGGAAACAGTGGAGATGTCATGTCTGAGGGCAATGTGTGGTGTGAATAAAAATGCAGAGAATTCGTAGTTTGGAAGTTAAGAGGAGGTGCGGGATTTCCAAACTGTTGTCCAGAGGGTTGAGGAAGGGTTGTGAGGTGGTTGGACATGTAGAGGAAGGAGCGAAACAGATGCTTCAAGAGGGGTATCATCTGGAGTGGAATGGAAGGCGGGTAAGGGTCGGCCTAGGAAAAGGTGGAGAGAGGGGGTAAAAGAGGTTTTGTGTGTGAGGGGCTTGGACTTCCAGCAGGCATGCATGAGCGTGTTTGGTAGGAGTGAATGGAGACAAATGGTTTTTAATACTTGACGTGCTGTTGGAGTGTGAGCAAAGTAACATTTATGAAGGGGTTCAGGGAAACCGGCAGGCCGGACTTGAGTCCTGGAGATGGGAAGTACAGTGCCTGCACTCTGAGGGAGGGGTGTTAATGTTGCAGTTTAAAAACTGTAGTGTAAAGCACCCTTCTGGCAAGACAGTGATGGAGTGGATGATGGTGAAAGTTTTTCTTTTTCGGGCCACCCTGCCTTGGTGGGAATCGTCCAGTGTGATAATAATAAAAAAATACTCAGGATACACTTTGCTGTAAGATTACGACAAACCTACATTCTTGTGAGGGTATCATGCAGCCGAGATAAACAGTCACTCATGCACTATGTGGCTTAACTTGGCTGCAAAGAATGCACTCAAAAAAGGCTTTACATGTGGATCTTTTTTCTACACCTCATTCTCCCACTCATTCTTCTTGTATAGACGCTAGAGAGGGAGCGGGAGAGCCTGAAGGAAAGTCACAAGGAAGCGCTGTCATTGCTGAAATATGAGCACCAGGGGGTGTTGGCAGAGCACCAGCAGGAGCTGAGGAAGAAGCTGCTCTACGAGTACTCTAAGCAAGACAACCTTGGAGGCTAAACTAAAGGGTATGCAATTTCCCCCTGTAACAGGTAAGAATGGGTATTTGACACTGATTTTTTTTAAAATTTTAACAAAATTTTTTATAAAACATAGCCCGGGGTTAAAAATAGCTTTTTTAAAAAGGGGAAGAACATGAGATGAGCAAAACCCTCCCTAATTTAAACATTTTTTTCACTGCCTAAACCCACGGTAGAGTGGGGTTGTGCCGGGCACCCGCCCCGCTTTTTTTCAGGCGAGCTACCTTGTACAAAAAGGGGCGCGAGGTTTTAGGGGGCTTAAAAAAATACCATCGGTATTGACTGTTTCTTGGGGGCGATTTCAACCCCTTTTCACGCAGGTATTACCCCCAACAATCTTTGGGTAACCTTTTGGTATCCGGGACGAGGAGGGTATGGTGTTTGCCCAAGACTTACAGAATCTTCGCCCAAACTGAATTCCACTCCCGTGTACGAGTCTTTGGTACGAGTTTCCCAAAATTTTTTGAGTCTTAAAACGCTACTCCAGCGTAAAGGGGTTGCTTTGATCAGGGTATCTCGCCATTTTATGGGGTTTAAAAGATTCGAAATGTCCCTTTGGGGGCAAAATGAGGCTGACATCGGGAGTTTTTTTTTGAGGAAAAAGGGGACCGAAACATCTGGCACAACGGGGAAAAAGGAAGGGCTGGTGTTTTACAGGGGCCTCTGGGGGGAAACCCTTTTTTTTCCCTAAGAGCCCTCTGAAAAATCCCTACCGTCTTACATCGGTTGGAGGACTTCAGGATCAAGTTTGGTATCGTATGCCGGACAGGGGAACGTATTTGCAAAAAATATGTGGGGCGTACAAACCAATGGCGGAAAGGGGTGTGTGAAGTGAGGAGGGCCCGGGTTAAAAAACGGGTGAAGAAACCAGTTTCCACGTGGGGGCGGGTTGTTGACCCCCCCAAGCGAAAAAAAGGGGCCCGGGGTTGTTTGGGGTGCTTGGGGAAAGGGGAAGAGGTGAGGTTTTCCAAAGAAGAGACGGGCATGTTGAGGAAAGCTGTGACTTAAAAGGATCTGTTTTTGGGAAAGGAAAAAGAACAGAAGTGCAATTGCAGGGGGAAAGGTGCAGGCTCTCGAGGAAGACCCTTCCGGGAAGTGTTGAGGCCCATTACGCCGCTTGCAGAGGACGTTTTTTCCGAGCGGGTAAAGGCACGGGTGTTGTCTGTAGAAAAAATTAAAAGGATAACCATAGCGGGGTTTGAAGGGCCACCTATAAGTGTGAGTTGTCGCCTTTGGCTGGGAACGAGGGGGGGGGTGGGGGTTTTGAGGAAACTCGTGGGGGAAACCTCAGAAAAATTAACCCATGGATGTGGGGGGCATCTCGAGGAAGAGAGCGGCGGGGGGTCAGACTCAATGAGGGTCCTGAGGGGCCGGTGCAGGGGTTCTGGGGGAAGGAAAAACACTGCGGTAGCCAAGTTTGAGGAAACCCACAAAAAAGGGGGGGGTTTTGATGGTGTGAACCCTTTGTCCCTGGCTCGGGGCAGGGGGCCCCCGGGATAAAAAGAAGAAAAGGAGGAAGGGTTGGGGAAAACTATAAATAGGCCTTAGGTGAATGACGTGAACAAAATGGACGGGTGTAATAGTGGGGAAGGGGGGAATGGTTTCAAAATTTTTCTGTGAAAATATAGGGTGGAGTAGTTTTCCCCTGCAAGAAAACAATTTAAAGGAGGGAAGAGAGCCCCGAGGGGGGGGGTTTCAGATCATGACTCTGCCATCTGCACGTCTGAAAGGTGGTGTGGGTAAAATTGTTTCGGGGAGGCGACCCCCGTTTGTGTTGTTTAAGAAGTGGGGGGGAGGGGGGGAGGTTTTGGGCGCGGGGAAAGGGTTTTGGAGGGGGCAAAAGGGAACCCTTTTTGAAAAGTGTGTATGAAACCAAACAAAAATGATGTAAAGAGAAAAAAGGGAAAAATTTTTGTATTTTGAAAAAAACAGTTTTTTTCTTACGGGGTTTTAAACCTTTGAAATTTTGGCCATCTTTTGGTGGGGCCCGGGAATTTGCGTTATTAGGAGAGCTAAACATAGAAAAAAGGGGTGGGGGCCACGGTCCCCCGGTTTTGCGAGAATTTTTTGAGGGATATTCGGGGTTTTTTTGGGTTTGGGGTTTTGGAGGGGGGGCGGGGATTTAAGCAAATTTTTGGGGTAAGGGGGGTTACGCGCTAGGAGGAAAAGGGCTTTATAAAACTCAAGGGTTTTTGGGTTTTGACATTTTTCTGTCAATAGAATACTTTTTGGGATCATCGGGGGTAGTAGCAGAGGTGGGGTGGGAGTCACTAGCAGGTAAAACCTGGGGGATTTTGGGAAAGTTAAATACAAGTGTGTTAGGCAAAGGAGGGGATAGAGGTTTTTGAAAGGCTGGGGGGGGTTTTTACGTGCAGAAAAAATGGGTAGGGGGAAATTTTGGTGATGGGGTTTGGGATGGTGTGGCTAAAGAACGGATTAAGCAATTTTAACGTAAGGGAAGGGAAACGTATCAATTTTAAAATATGGGCTCGCCAACTTTTTGGGGGTGGGTTTAGGGGGTTTTTTAAGGGCCGGGGGGGGGGGCGGTGGCGGGCACTTACCCAAAGGGGGATAAATTTTATTTTAAATTTAAAAGGGAGGCTGCGTGAGGTACGGGAAATTGAGGGGTTCCCAAAGGGGGGGGGCGGGGTACAGGCGGGGTGAAAGGTTTTATGGGGAAAGCCTTCATGGGTGCGTTTTGCGTAGGCAGAAACAAAGAAAAGCAAAAAAGACTATTCCAGGTTTGGGGGGGTTCAGTCATGGGAAAGGGAAAAAAGGGGAGGGGCGGGTCATAAAAGCTAGGGAAAGGGGAATTGGGTTTGCTGATAAGGGTTATGAAAAATTACTGGAAACCCGGAAGGGGAAAGGGGATGGGGTTTTTAAACCGGGTGTGGGGGATGGGGAAAGGGTTCAGTTGCGAAAACAGTAAAAGGGGAAAGCACTGGGGGGGGAAAATTTAACTGAGGGGGAAATATGGAGGGCTTTAAGGGGAAATGCAAAAGGGCAAAGCCCCGGGGGAATTTGATGGCTCCCCAGATTTTTATCAGCAGCTTTGGGGAATTAAATTTAGGATTTTTTGGTTAGGATTATTTAATTGCATGAAGGAGAGAGGTGAGCGGGGTTGAAAGCGGGCAACCTGTCGTTGTTTTTGGTACCAAGGGGGGGGGAAGCATATGCTTCGGGATTACCGGGCGATCTCGTTGTTATGCGCAGATTACAAATTTTTTTCGAAGTTTTGGGGGGAAAACGGGCCAATTGTGTGGGGGGGGTTGGGGTATATAAAAAACTCATTTTTGGTTTTGCCAGGGAGGTCAAGGGGGGGGTATGGGCTACTTAGGGTTTTCCCTTGGGGGCAAAAGGGGGGGAGGGGGGGGGTTTTGGTGGCGCTTGATTGGCAAGGGGATACATAAGTGGAAACGAAAGCCCTTGAAAGTCAACTTTAGGGGGTTTGGGGGAAAAAATAGTGGGGTTTGGGTTTAGGCGTTGTATGGAGGTGCAATGGCGAGGGTACAGATTAATTTGGCGATTGGGGGGAAGATTGTAATGGAAGGGGGCTTTGGGATAGGCAGGGGGTTTTTTTTTTTTTCCCCCATGTCACAATTTTTGTTTTTTTGCGTACAGGACCCCCCCTTTTTTTAGATTGGGGAGCAGCGTAAAGGGGTCACTAAGGGGGCCCCGGGTGTGGGGTTTCGAAGGGTTTTGGGCCCGTTTTTAATTGGGGTATGTGGATGTTACCCAAATGTTCTGATTTAGGGGGGGATTACAATGGGCCCAATTTGATGGGGTAGTACAAAATTTTTTCGCAGGGGAAATGGGGAAAGAGGGGAAATTTTAAATAAATCCTGGTTTTTGGGGGTTTGGAAACTTGGGCGGGTAGGGTTGATTGGGGGGTGCAGTTGTGAGGAACAGGTGGGAAATTTGTTAAAAATTTTTCGGGCTTAATTTTTTTCAAAAAGATCTAACTGTGGGAAACGCATGGGAAAAAAATCGATTTGGGTGGTAGAAAAGGGTTCAGGGACCTTGGGTGCATTGCGACCCCTTTTCATTTGACCCCTTTTGGGGCGGGGGCCATTTTTTATTAATATCTTACTGAAAAGCAAAGTATGGCACGGGCAGCCTGTTCCCCCTTAAACTGGGCCAAACAATAAAACCCAAAATACTAGGAAGGGTTTTTTAAAATTTTTGTGGGGTTGAGCTGTGATTGGGTTTAAAAAGGAAAGTTGGGGAAAATTACCTGTAAGTAAGGGGGGGGGTGGGAAAGCGGGCTTAAAGCGGAGGGTCAAATGTGCTTCATTAAAAGGGGGGTGATGAGGGGAAAATGGGGGTGGGGGGGGGGTTTTGGGGCCCGGGTCCATAACAGATTGGGAAAAAAAGGGATGTATACAGGAAAATTTAGTTGCAAAGATTGGAAACTTTGGGGAGGGGTCTGGCGTGGGAACGAGAGCCAGCAAAAGGTTTTAAAAAAGGTTTTGGGTTTTGTAGATTGTTTGCCGGGGGGGGTTTTAGTTGGGCCCTTTTGAGGGAATTCCCCCTGAAAGCATGGGGGAAAAATTTGGAATAGGTTGAAATAGGGTGAGGTTGGGAACCTCTTTCGGGAGTAATGTAACCCCTTTTCTGCACGGCATTTTACCGTAGGTTTTTTGGGGGTTCTATGGGGTTGACGGGGCCCTTTACGGGGGGGGGGGGGGCGGGATATGTGGTGGGGGGGAGTCGGCCCCTTTTTATGTATTTTAAATTTTTGGGGACGGACTGAGGTGGTTAAATAGGGGGATATATAGAAAGGAAAAATCAAGGAATTTCTTTATTTAGACAAAAGTTCTCGACGTGGGGGGTTTTTGGAGGAAATTTTAATCAAGCTTTGGGGTACATTTTTGGCAGATTTTTATATATATAGTGGGGGTTGCGGGGGGAAAAAGGTCCCGTGAGGTTAAGAGGAGGTGTTAGCGGGAACGTTTCTTAAAACGGTAAAGAAGGGAAAAA